GGCTTCACTGAGTTATGCAAGCCCCTTCGCCACGACAAGGCAGTGATCCATGAAGGGGAATAATTATAACCATTGTGCAAAAAAGCACATACTCTTAAGAGGCAACTGCCAGTCATATTTATTGAAAGAATTTGAGTACTGGAGTGATGATAGAAGGATAAAAATGGTTTCAATCCATTTTCTTGACAACATGTCTCAGTAATCATTTAATCCCTTAAATGTGTTCATTACATTGCTGTATTTGTAGCCTTCTTTTTAGGATATAAGCCTTTCAAAGAAATGTCGTGAGATGTTAATAAAATCAGAGCAAACGTCATCATAATCATTATTAGCATCAGCATCAGCATTTTTATGTTACTCCATTCAAAACTGGCTCCCAGTAGCATCTTGCGTAAAGAGAAATTTCAAAACAAGGGAAAATATTGCAATAGTGATGTCACCCACCAGGGGCAGGTCTGAACTTAAGGTCCCTCAAATGCTCTGTGACAGAGCTGTGTAGGTGGTCACGGCTTAGGTATGAGGGCAAGCTGTCCTGCAGAAGGGGAACCACCACTGAGAAGACCTGGCTATGGGGTCCCTGTTGGGAAGGGGACCCTTAGTGGGTGTCCCTTCCTTGATCTCACTGGAGAGACAGATTCATTTCAGAGCAGTTGGTCTTGAAGACATCCAGGCCCTGGGCCATATAAGTCTTGAAAGGTAATTATCAGCCCCTTGAATTGCACCTGGTTGCTGCCTGGCAGCCATTAGATAAACTTAGAAAAAGCCACTAGGATCCTTCTGGAGGACGGCCGTTAAATAGCAACCCTCTGAGGGCCAAGTCAGCAGAAGTTTCAAATATATTAACTTCCACATAAGGAAGGTGCTACAGCTATGATGATCATCTGCACTGTTTTTTGATGCACCTATATGTTTGTGTTTGATCACAGTTGTTTCGGTCAAGGATATGCTAGGTCTTTATACTGTATAAGGCAATGTTCTTATATAATTTATATATAATAAATATATTATTTTGTTCTTTCAGTTCTGCTTTCCTGGAATTGACATGATTTTAAATGCAGATGTGATTTTGTGTCCTACATGTTCTAAGCAATTTCCTTAAATGAATGCCAAACCCTAAAGTGAGGAAGTGTTTAAATGAGTATTTTTTTGAAACCATTGTTCATGTCTGTGCTTGTCAAGAGCAGCTTGGATTGTTTAGTTAGCTTTATATCTTCTATTTCCTCCAGGACTTCAAGATGGTTTCGTTTTATCCCCACAGCAGCATTCTTGTGAAATAGACTAGACTAAGAGTGAAATCATGGAGTGAAACCAAATCTTTTTGTATTTGTTCCCCAATAGCAGGCTAAGGTCCAAAGGAAACTTGATGTTTATAACTATTATTTATCTTGTTTGCTTGCTACATGTCATTTCACTGTAGGAAAGTCCTTCATGCCAGTTGGCTATTGTAACTCTGATAGGAATGCCCTTTCCCCTCTTCCTTCCTTCAATTAATAAGAGCTCTGCCACTTTCTCCTTCTAGCCCAAATGTAGAAAGAATGATTAAAACATATTTTTTCTTCTACTTTTTTTTCTTTTACTGGTCCATTGGTGGATGCATCAGACAGGAAGGTATCAAGTATAGGGGGAGTCAACGTAAGAGACTCATACAAAAGATCCATCAATGAAAACTACATATCCTCAAAAAGCCAGCATGGAAAGGGAAGCAACAGGCCCTTGCTTTTTTCTTCAAGTTAGTTCAGGTTGACAGAAGGAAGAGGACATCTTGATAAAGTTGGGCCCAAGTTGTTAGGGCTGTAATAGTAAGCAGCACCTGATTGTCACCAGTCTCCCTTCAAGAAGCAGGCTGGCTGGCCTGAAAAAAAAAATTGTCAAGTCAATTCCAGATCTATAGATAAGTAAATGTGCCATTCTGCTCTTTGATACAGCCTGGAGTGCTTCTGCACAAGTCGGTCTTTAAGCCTTTGGGAGAGGTTAACTGTTCATCCTTAAAGTGAAGCAGCAGACTCTTTGGAGAAGAAGACAGGCAAGAGGAGAAGGCTCATTCCCCTGTGTACTAAGACAACAGGTACTGTGACCACCCCCTGTCCTACTGAGTACTTTAGTTGTTATGGGTGTGCTTACCTCATAGATGATAATGAGTAATGGATAACCCAACCTTAATTGTTCCAGTCCTGTTCCAAAACAGAAACTGATTTATTTTCCAAAACTGCAGTGAAATTCTCTTCCCTAAATGTAAAGTATTGTCCATGTTCGGACAATTGTTTGCTAAGAGGTCTGTTACAGAATTTTGGTTTGGTTTATGCACCATCTCACAAAAGTATGCTTGTGAAAATAATAATTAATCCCCAGTGAGGCACTACCTTGATGTGGTTGTGGGGTTGTGTGTTCTGAGGAGGATGAGAGCTATGCCAGAGGTTCAACCATACTGGACAGATCTCATCAGAAGAGCCAGATGAAGAGTGTCTCTGCCATAAACAATATGGTGAGATGTAATTTGCAGAAACATATACCGGATCAGTTGTTGGGCAAACAAGGATCAATGTTCTGGTTCCTGGACATCTGGTGACAAGTGGGCCACAGGAGTCAGGACTGTTGGCTGAGCAACCAGGACCAGCAGCTGCGGGACTACTGGAAGAAAAGTTGTTTACCCATCACAAATATACAAAGACTGAAAATGAAGACCACTTGAAGACCATCGGTATTGACAAAATCACCATCGGTCAATTGCAAAAGGCAGCTTTACTTGGAACAGCTTATGTCCTGCAATGATACCTTTAACACCATCAGACAACAACCTCTGCCTGTCTCAGATCCTTGGGAAGGACTCAATAGGTGGATAAAAATGCCAAATCCAGTCTAAACAACTGGCTGTGACCAACAATAATAATAATATGCCTTTAACAAAATATGGAACATTGAGGGAAGCACAGTAACTACAAAATTCCATCCAGTCAAAATCATTTAACTCTTTAACTGCCAAACCAGTAAAACAAATATTTACAATTAAAACCCAACCCAGCGCAACAATTGTCTGGAGCAACAGCTTATAATATGTCAGAGTGCAGCTATGTCCATAACTACTAAAACAGATATTAAACTAAACATTGTCAACAATGTGATATAAACAGCCCCACTGCACACCGACTAGTCAAATAAAAAGGCCTTTATATATTTCACATTCCGTAAAGGCATCAAGCCTTTGCACAATGTGAAAGGGAGGAAGCTTCTGGTGGAAGAACAGAGAGCAAAGATCCTTCCCAAAAGAACATGGCAATTGAACAGAATGGTAGGGAGAGAGAAGAGCAGCCAAGTACTGGGGAGTTTGTGACTGGAGGGCTCTAAATATAAACATCAGTACTTGAAAACTGAGCTCTATCTCAGATAGGGAGCCAGCAAAGAGCCCTGCAGTCATGAAACTAGCGTGGAAGATCCAGAACAGTCCAATTAGCACTCTTTCTGGAGTAGAATTAGAGGGTGGAGAGAGAAGTCAAGAACACTTGGGAGGAGAGTATGGCGATACTTTAGTATGAAAGGACCAAGACATGCACCAATCCTACTTTATTTCTCTTGAAGTGGTTGAAAACAGTCTTGTAAGTTCTTTGCAATCATTCATTAAAAAAAAAAAAAAGGTACAGCTTGGTCATAGTACTTAATGATGAACCTTTACCTTCTGTATAGATGACCACAGTGATTTAAAGAGCCTGCACATCCAGGAAATACCTTCTGATCCTTCTTCATTACTGTGGCTCTCAGAAATTCAGCTGGTGAGTTCATGGGTCATGCCTATCTATGTGGATGTGCCCAGACTCCAGAACTCCCCCTCCTGCATGCCCTTGGACCCTCTTCGCTAGCATTTGGTGTGGTACAAAATTTATTTTGTAAATTGTCAATGGACTTGTGTTCATGGAAATCTGTTTGGGGTTCAGTTTTAAGTGTGATCTCCAAACTCTGGATTTTTGTTGAGAGATTTTATTAAATGATGTGCTTTAAATAACATTGATTATAATCCAATCTGAATGCATCTCATGAAGAATTGAGATGCCGTTTTTTAAACTGAAACCAAAATATCATCTATAATTAATAATATGTAATATATGCAATATTTCATATTGCATAGGATATATATTCCCTACAAATATATACTTTACAGTTTTCCTACTGCTCCCTGCTCCCCCTCCCCACCCCAATTTGGTTGAGGGTGTTCACGTATTTTCCTGGTTACAGGCTGGATTACTTTAGAGCATTTTAATAATCTAATGAAAATACAAGATATGCCTTTTGAGTTTCTAAGCAAATGAGCCTCAGTTTGATTTAACGTTTTGAACATGTCCTGTATCCGTGACTTATGGGTTGGCCTGTATTCTGTGTAAGATACAATTTTGAGAGAGAGAGAGAGAGAGAGAGAGAGAGAGAGAGATTGACAATAGGTGTATGGAAAATACAGCATTAACTTGAAAGTGGTACAGATTTTTTAAAAAAATGAGTTCATGAAGGGTACTTGTGAACAGCAGCTGATGTTCTTTATAGCCAGCTAGTATCCAACATTGTTACTGGATGTTTCTTTTGGTTTCAGCTCTGCTCCAGTCCAAGTTACTAATGACTAATATGTTGTTCGGCTGTTTCAGTTCCTTTGAAACTTGAAAGACAGGCATGTTTGTTCTGGGGACTGGGTAGAGAAGAGCAATCATTTAGTCAGTCACTATGTTCCAGCCAATGAGTGAAATATTTCCCTATTTGACTCTGATTGGTTGGCATGGATCATTTTAGTTTGTTGTGAAAAAGCCAATGATATCTGTGACATATGAGTTTTGTGGCCAGGCAGGCTGCTTCTGAGCTGCTGTGAATCAGCAGAGAAAAAGGGAAAAGATGAGGAGAAGAACCCCAGGCATGGCCTTGAAGTGCAGGTAACCTGTCACAAGGGCAGACGAGCTGCCTTGGTTGCTAACCAGGACTGTTGTGGGGCAGATGGAGGCAGCATTCTGATTGGCCAAATCTAAGATAAAGGTTCTGGGATTTAAAGCCAAGGGGGGGAAACATACCTCTTCAGTTGCTGTTGGATTGATGTGTAAAGGGGGGGGGGTAGAAGAAAAATGGAGAGACATGTCACAAGTTTGAGTCTGTGCCACTCTGAGGCATCAAGGCAGTGGGTGCCTTTGGAGAGACTGTATAGGAAGTTGGTGGCTGTAGAGAGACATTGCTTGAGGTGTGCTGGGCCGTTGGAGTTTGCAGCTGCTCTTTCCTGGCTCCAGAGAGAGAAAAGGGTTGAAGATCTCAGCTGGAGGTTTCCTGGGACAAGAGAAACGAAGACGCAGACAGAGGGATGTGCTTCACCTAACATCCAAGGTAGATGGGGACAGAGGGTGACGGTTGCCTGCAGCTGGACACCTGGAAACCTTGGAAAAACTCCACGCCAGGAAAGGCTGGGCAGAAGACTCAGAGGGAGGTGCATCACACAGCATCAGTTGTAGAAGGATGGCTGTCACGATTGGAAAAAGCACAAAGAATGACTTTAAGTGCACACCAAACTCAGCCAATTCCCTTCTTATCTTCTTATCTTTCTCAGTGAAAAGCTGAGGGGGAGGAGAAAGGGGGGAGTGGTTACTATGTGGCAGAGTGGTTTGTTGCTAGCAATAGCAGAGAGTTAAAGGATGTTAGAGACTGAGAGGTTTGGACACTCTGCTGTAAATAGTTTCGTTTTGCCTTAATTCCAGTAAACTGCTGCGTGTGCTTAAAGTCACACACGCTCCCAGCCATAAAAGTACCCTCAGTCTCGCTGTGACAGACTCAACTATGTACATGCAGCAATCCTTTTAGTGGCAAAAAATGTGCTGCAGTGCTATTGCTGCAACTATCTAATTTTTATATCGATTATAGGCCCATGCTGCAATTAGAAGGTCATACTACATGCTCCCAGAAAAGAAACAAAGCAATGCTAAGTGTAAATTATGCAGAGAAGCCCTTACCTTTTCATATGTATTCTTCCTGCAAAAGTCAGAAATCTCTGGTAAGCATCCTCTCTCCTTTTTGCACCAGATGTCTTCCATCAGTTGAAGGACACCAACTAAATCTCAAATCAGAAAAGAGAGAAGGATACTAACAGTGACAGAGACAGGGAATAAAGTGTTATATACAAGATTAGAAATAACAGAAGAACTCACCAAATTTTTCAAGGAATTATATTCTAAACAATTGACAGGAAAAACATCTGAAAACATACAGTACATTAAAGATTCAGAACTTAAACAATTCACTGAAGATTATAGACAGATCCTAAGTAAATCTGTAACAATTCAAGAGATCAAAGAAGCAATAAAGACAATCAGAATTGGAAAGACATCAGGTCCAGATGGGCTGATGGCCAAATACCACAAAAAATTAGAGAAGGAACTGGCAGAACCACTACTGAAGATGATGAGTGAAATTCAGACAAAAACAGTACCAATGACATGGAAAGAAGCATACATAACTTTAATACACTATTAGAAGAGAATCATCTGAAGAAATCTCAGACTACAGACCAATTTAACCTCCAAAGAAGACCTGGCGAAAAAACAAACTGGCTGTGAAATAGCAAAAGATTCAGTAAAATATCTAGGACTTCACTTGACAGGATGTAATAAAGATATATTTCAAAACAATTGCTATGAATTATGAAAAGAAATAAAAAGAGGCCTTGAAAGGTGGAAAAGTTTAAAAGATTCTTGGCTAGGACTCCTTGCAATAATAAAAATGAATATACTACACATGATGAGCTTTCTAGTCCAAATGGCACCAATTCCAATTTCAGAGAAAAATCTGCAAGACTGGTAAAGAACTCCGAAAGAAGAGAATATCTCTAGCTCAGGGTTGAACTGTGGATCCTAAGCTCAGAGAGCACCAAAAATGCCATGGTAAAGAACTATTAACAGGTTTATATGGAGCAGGAAAGACCAACCGTAAGGTTCAAAATCTTACATGACTTAAAAGAAAGCGGTCAACTAGCATTTCCTACCTTCAGATTGTATTACAGAGCAAGTTGCCTGTTATGGATAACAGAATGAACAAAATTTTCAAACAGCAGAATATCAGTTATAGAAGCAGCAGACCTAGCTAATGGATTTCATAAGTATCTACTGTATAAATAAACAAAAGAATTCAAGGAGCATATTATAAGACAAAGTTTGCTAAAAACTTGGAATCTTCTAAAAGCAAGGCTACATCTCACCATTAGCATCAAACTTTTTTATGCTATGGACAATTACAGTAAAAACCATTTAATTACATATGGCAATACGACTTATCCATATTCAGGAAATAGATTAAAGACCCAAGAATTGTCCAATGAAAGAAGGAACTTACCATGGTTAATGTACAGTATCTGCAAGTAACTGGAAAAATAAAATCTTAAAGAAGGAGGGACCTTGAGAAAAATAACAGAATTTGAAATACTTACATCCTAATATGTATTCTTAGTTTTGTGTATTTACAAATTGTCACTGAAATACAATATGGAGACAGAACAAATCAAAAGTGGTATGATAAAATGGATGTAAAAGTTCAACGAAGCAATTACAGTGGCCCAGTGGAGTTACAGAAAAAATCTATAAAATTTACTCCAACCTATAATTTAAGGGAAATTTGGTGTAAAATGTTTTACAGTTGATGCATAACTCCACCAACAATTGCCAAGATATAGCATATAACAACAAATGTTGGAAATGTCATGACAAAGAAGGGACATTTTATCACATGTGGTAGTTATGTAAAAAAACTCAGAAGTACTGGAAAGAAATGCATCAAAACATTCAAAAAAATTCTAAAAATAAAATTTGAACTGAAATATTCAGAGATATTTTTCTTAGGTATAATTCCAGAAAACATAAATGTAAAAGATCACCGTTTACTAAGATATATGTTAACAGCTGCAAGAACAAACATGCGACAACACTGGAAAAGAGAAACCTTGCAGATGATATCGGATTGGGAGACTAAAATTGGAGAATATGCTGCAGTGACACAATTCACAGTATATATCCATAATCGAAGTTTAACTAAATTTAAGCAGGAATGGCTCACTTATATACAACTCATTACACAGCAAGGCAAATTGAAACATTTGAAATATGGTTTCTAGTACCTAAACAGAAACCAGCAATGATCTTTAACATTCAATGTAAAGCATAGATAACCACACTGTGATCAACAGTTGGGGACACAAATGGAAGGGAAAGGAAGAACGTGTTGCCATAAAATCTTTTCATAATGCTTTTTATTTATATTCAGTGGCTGTTTTTTTTTTTATATCTTACTTCTTTTTTCTCTTTTGTATTTCACTAGTTCAACAATAAAACCATATTAAAAACAACTTTGTATTACAACTGAATGATCTCTGGAGCTGCATCTCACTGTATTTATAATTTGATACCTCATGCTGGATTTCCCATATCAATGCAAACCCACTGAGACTTTGCATGGGCAAAAGGGGAAAATGTGATTTGAACCAATAGCAATTCTTTTAACTCATATTAGGCACAGATGTGTCAGTGACGGCATCTACATCACCACAGAAAGCTGTATTATGGGGAGAAATTATAATAAATGTTGATAGCCATTTGTTTAAAAATCATTTACAACAGGCTAACCTTATGTTACTGATATGTACAATAGAGACAGGGCACCCTCTTTTGGTGAGAAAAGAAACACCAGAATGGTTTCATAAATTAATGTGGGTGCAGGCTTCTAATCTGATTGTGAAATGAATTCTTCTGCCATTTTCCTAAGGTGACTTACTTGAGAGCTAGTACCATGCAGTTAAAAAGCACTGAATTAGTAAGTACTACCAATAGATATTATTACATGTAGAAAGTGCTTAAGTTTCTTCTTGACAATTGTATGAAGTGGACAATTGCTTATATTCAGTGTTGGGGAAACAAAACTAATGAGATTTGCCTCTGATCTGGGAGCCAAATGAGAAAAGGGATAAACTACTTCAACCTGCAAGAGTGAATCATGTTGTTCAGTGTTACGGTGTGTAAAATTACTAACAGTAATAACAACTAAAGTTCCTTTCAGGGAGTTTTGTGTGTTTTTTTGAACATGAAACCAGAAGCAAAAGTTTCACCCCCTGTAATCTAAAATAGTTCAGCCTATTCTGCTATTCATGATTTTATTCCTGTTTTTTCCTCCCATGGACTTCTTGAATTGTAAGGTGCTTCCGGTGTCTATAAGCACTTGGGAGTAAAACAGTGATCTGCCAATGAGGCCGATAGATGGGACCTCTGCGCCTCTGTCCTTTCTATCCTTTCCACAGCCTCAGTTTCCTGGAAGTTATCTTCAACATTTATCCACTATTAAAAAAAGGCATCCAGGGATTTCTTCCTGGCACAAGTGATGGGTCTGGAGCAAGCTATTTTTAAGGAAAAGCAACATGTTTTGAGATCTTCATTTAGAAACTGACAGATCCAGAATGCCAAATTGTATTTGAGGGAACATTCACCTCAATGCTCTTGATTATTCCCAACTACATTTTTAAGAGTCTTTCTTCCTCATACAGGAAGGTGTTCACAGTAGCCAGATTTAATGCATTTCTATTGAAACTTGGGGAAAAGCAGCTTAATAACATTTCCTATTTAGATTGCCATTGCACATGCTCAGAAGGAATAATTGAATTAATAGCCCACTCTCTATTGCCCTGCCCATTATATCAGAATCGGCTATCAGTTCTGATAAATCCTCCTCTTGCTGGGTGTGTGGGCTAACCTGAGTCCCAGATTGTACACTTTTATTTGCAGACACCTGTAATTTCTAAGTAACTTGCTAAATTTTGCCCCAAGGCATTTGCCATCAGAAGCCAATTTTAAATTTACTTAGGCTTGGAGCATCTGATTGTTTGGGGGACTTTGTTTGCCCTGTTACTACTGCTGTTTATATGCATATATGTAACACACTTTTGTCCAGGGATGTCTACAGGGTATGGTAAAAAAGTCAAGATGGAAGCTGCCATGGTGCAGTTGGAGCTCCACCCTGTTTTTGACGTGTGTCATGTTTGTCTGATTTGATTTTAACCTGTTTTACCCATTATTTTGCCTCACATGTCCCTTCCTTTGATACATGGTATTCGTCTTAAAAATATGCATTATCTTTCTTCCTTTTAATTTGTTCTTTTACTGTAAGTGTATAAATAATCATTTCTGACCCCTTCAAACAGGGAAAATAATCTTTGTATGACAAACAGCCAGTTGTATCCAGACACCTTTAATGACCATTCTCTTTTGTGATGAAGAGATTTCTCTCCTTTACATAATTTTGTGTGACTTTTTTTAAAAGGAAGGCTGTAATCCAGAAGTATAAGGAAAATGATTCTTTGGGGAATAATTTTGTTTAAAGATTATTCTACTGGAACAAAACAGAGAAGGAATTCTTGATGTCCTCATTTCCCAACAGGAAGAAAATTGCTGTTCCAAGACGGTGACTTGATCTCTGAATCATCTTCCACAGAGGTTCTCACGGGAAGCAACTGATCTTAACGTTTGGCAGATGGCATATTTCCAAAAGTTACCTTTCACTTTCCTACTCTTGATTGTTTTAAGTGACATTCAAGCAGGTAAACTTTTCTATTTTCTTAATTTGTTTCTTTAGCTACTGTATTTTTATGCAGTACTGCCTTATAACAGGACAGGAGCGAGATTCGGTCAGTGGCACTTCCTTTACTCTTATTTTGCCTTGCTTTCTATTGGGGAAGGAAAGAAAACAAGCTCCAATTTCTAACCCTAAAATGACCGCTGCTGTATTTTTGGAGAATTGAAAGGGTGTATTTGTATTTATGTGCACTGGCTATGTCAGGTCATGGAACACTAAGAATCTGTACACCAAGCCAGGCAGGCAGGGAGGAAGGTGACCTGCAAATGTAGGCTAAGGTCCAAATGCCAAAGTCATGAATTTTGGAAAGCCAACTTGCTCCTCCTCCTTTCTTTCTTCTTTCTAACTCATCTTCAAATGTTATCAGTGTCACAGATTCTTTGGGAGATGACACAAGACACACTCAATCACAGAGAGACACAGAGAATAGGCTTGTGACCCTGAGAATGAGTATTGTTTTTTACCTAAATGCAAAATAAACCTAGAAAACTGAATTCAGTTTGTACTTACTCTAGCAAATAAGTTATTTCAAATTCTAGGCTTTCTATTATTTTTTTTACTCTTATCATATGTATTGATTCCTGTCTTTCCTTAAACCTATTTTGCTGTTTCTAAGCCTACATTTCTTAAGTCTGCCCCTATAAACTTACAATCAATAACTATATTTACTTACAAATTACTTATGAGTTACTTAAGAGATACTTCTGGATTACTTCTGAGTTCCTTCCCTTTTCCCTTCCCTTATTTCCACAGCATCTCTTCACTTCTATAGTAACATCCCCAAACTTCAGAAGTGGGGATGAATGGAGTCTCTTCCTTCCCTGCCCCAGCCTCCGAGGCGTTCGTCCAGCTTCTCTCAGACTCTCTTGCAGCTGACTTTTAATGACTTTTTCTGTCTCCGCCATTCTGCGACTGCTCTTGATATTGCAGGGCGGCTGTGCTGTGGGAACTGCCGCTTTGGGCTTGTGCTTCTTGGCTGCTGCTGGGGTGGGGTTACTGTGCTGAAGAAAAGGGTTCTCTGTGGAATGGCCAGTTCATGGAAAGAGTGAATGGTATATGCCTTGGGACCCAAAGTAAATAGTTAGTAGCTAACATGAGTAGCCTCTTTTGCTGTAAGTGTCTTTACAAATGATCCTTGACTAAAGACTGTGGTGTGTCACTGCCTGGTGTTCAGCCAAAGAAACACACTGCTTCTTTTGAAATAGGTGATTTCTTTCTCTTGGAATCGTAAGATACAGTGTATATACTTTTTTCCCCTTCAACATAATGTAAAAAAAGGGGGGGGGGAGTTCAGGTTGCCCGTACATTTTTATTTAACTGTAAGAATCTATTACAGATTTTGACTACAAATGTAAGTCAAATCAATAACCATAATTCAGTTATAGGATATAGACCACCTATTTATTTATGTGTTCATTTACTAGACTTACAGGACTCTTATAAGGCTTTAGAAAAGCAAAATAAAAAATAAAAATTACTTAATAACACCTGGTACAAAAACTAGATATTCTTATTCTCAGTTACACATTCAGGAATATATGGTAAGTTATTGTTCAGTTTTTTTCCTGCTTAGAAAAATGTGACGTTTGTTTAGCTATGCAGAACTTATGTATTATTGGAGATGTCAAAGAGACAAATTTCTTATAGATAACTTACAGGGATATACTGTATGTACTGTACATTTTTAAGATAGGACTTTGGATTCAAGAACTGACAGAGATTCCTTTCAAGACATTAAGGAGGACAGGCGGTGAAGTACATGAAAGAGAGAGTGAGGAACCAATCTCCCAATTGGTCCAAATGAAAACTTTTCTACTGGCATTTGGGATTCTCCCCCTCTCTCTTTTGTTTGAAGAGGTTCAGTCATTCTAGTCCCTCTATGAAGAGAAAGGCCGAAGGACCAAATATGTGTTCTTCCCTTCAGTGATCAAAATGTATAAAGCTAGATATTCTCCTTCAGCCATTAGCTGCAGTTGAATCAACACTGGCTTGTGGCAATCTTCCAAAATGGCTAATTTTTGAGTGCCTCTAAAAATGGCATTTTTTAATATAGAATACTTAAGAAGGTATTGTGCATGGATAGTGCTTACTTGGTACTGTTAATGATCAACTGATATATTTTCCTGATGAATGTCATGCACAACGAGAATTTATATTTATTTATTTTAGACGATTTATACAGCCACCCATATTGTAATACAACTCTGGGCAATTTGTGAATCAGTAAAAAACAAGAATAAAATCAAGCAACCCTATAAAATTCTATATAAAACTTATGGTCCCCCAGGACAGCATTCTCCATACATCTATACATTATTATACTATGCTTCAGCCTCAACCTACCCCAGTGCTTGTGGGAAGAGCCAGCTCTTCAAGGCCTTCTGGAAGGCAAGGAGGCTGGGGGCCTGCTGAATCTCTGGGGGAAGGGTGTTCCACAGGGCAAGGGCAGCTATAGAGAGGGCTTGCTTCCTAGATGACAAGATTTAAGGGAAGAGGCCTGGAGTGTGCCCACCCTATCTGACTTGGTGGGACAGGCAGATATCCTCAGGGAGAAGTGGTCCTGCAAGTAGCCTGGTCCCTTGCAATTTGGGACTTTAAAGGTGACAGCCAGCACCTGGAATTGCACCTGGAAAGAAACTGGAAGCCAGTGCAGCTCACACAGCAGTGGTGTAATATGGGCAAAATGTGAAACCCCTATAACTCTGCATGCCACCATATTTTGGACTAGTTGTAGTTTCTGGAAGATCTTCGAGGGCAGCCCATGTAGTGCATTGCAGTAATCAGTAAATAATGGCTGACTTCACAGCTCACAATAAGCATTTTTGGTCTTGGCTTAAGTGTTTGTGTGAATGCAGGCATCGTGATTTAGCATAACGTGGAAACAGCCCATTGTTATTCAGCAAAACATATATTATTTTTAACAGCCATAGTTTATCTGAATACAGTCAATGGGCATCATGATTTCAGTTTATCCGTATTTCAGACAAAACAGAGGTGACTACATTGAATAGCGGCCATTCTCCCAAACTTTAGGATAGCTTTCTTATCAGCCTTATTGCCTGAACTACTAAGCACTGAATCTTTTGCAAACCAAGTATGTATTCTGGCTGTAGAAACAATATTCTTAATTCCTAATTATTTATGTTTGGTTCTTGAAAAAAAAAATGCAGTGCAACTGTATGTTTCTTCTGCTTTTTCCTCAGAGGGTGATTGTTTATCATGTTCAAAACACAACATTACAGAAGTTGGAAAAGGCATTATCACTGAATGCAAGAATAATGCACCCATTGAAAAAATGGAAATGACATTCTACTCCAGCAGTAGAAACCTGAGTTATTCCACAGATGTCCTCCACAAACAGAACAGAAAGTTGACTCTTGGTGAAGTAACACTGAAAATTCAGGATTCTATGGCTTTTCTGATTATTAACCAAGTAAAGATATCACATGAAGGAAACTATACATTGACATATGTAACTGAAGACTGTATGGGTGAACTGACTATATTTCTAGAGGTGTTTGGTAAGCCTGAGCCAATGATCAATGGACATCAAGAAGCTAGACTTGAATATGTATTGGTCAAAATCAGTTGCTATAGCAGTTGCCATTGAAAGGGCACACATGAAATTTCACTATTAATACTGGCTTTCGCCATAAATATCTGCAGAAGGGGAGCAAATGACTAAATGTCCATCATGACATAAACTCCAGCCCTTACATACTTGTGTGCTATCTTGCAATCTGAGCACAAAAGGCAGAGCTTGCATCATGATGTCATGGCTGTGAAGAAATGTAGATTTGCCCTTGGAAGGAGGATGAATGAATGAGCCATTAAAAGGGAACTTTGAGAAAAGATTATACAGTCCTAAGGAAGATGAAAGGGTAAGAAAAAAATCCAAATAATCCTGCCTTGATTTTGCTTAGTGGGGCAGAAAGAAACTTGGAGGGGGCAAAGTCAAGAAACAGCTGTGGCAGGAATTCTGGAGTGCTTTTTGTTGTTCTTGTAGGTTTATCTCTGCCTGTCTTACACTAAACAGAAGGTGGGGATATTCTGAATGATTTTCTCAAGCTCTCCTCTTTCTTAGGACTGTGTGATTTTTTTTTTCAAAGTTCCTTCTTAGCAGCTTGCTCATTCCTTCCTCATTCCCAAGGTTGGTTCAACATTCCTTCACAATGGCACACATTTTGTTATTTTAGCATCAGCTTGGTTAGGAACAGACAAAATGAAAATTATATTGGAATGTTAGATCTTATTTTGTCACAGGGACAAAGATAAAGTTAATAAGGTATGGCCATCTAGTCCTGCACCGCTGCTTCCAGCAATGTCAGTCAGATGCTTCTAGGTAGCTTACAACCAGACTTCTCCACTTTTGCTTATTCCCTGAGCAAGTATTTAGAAGTATGTAACTAATAGAATGTCATAAACATGAATGTTTTGAAATATACTTTCAAAATGCTTTTGTAGAAAAGACTGCAGGAATAATGTGATGGTTTAGCTGTTCAAATATAATGGATTCTTGCTGCAGAGGTTATGGCTATGAGACAAAATAAATACTATTAATCCAGCAAATGATACTGGAACCTGTATGCTCTGATGCTGAAAATCAAGAAGAAGAAATTTAAGGTGAAGAGATAGGCAATGCTTTGGGACAAAGGGCTCATGAAGTCCATATACATAAAAGAATGTCATCTGATGCCTCTGTTGCCATGCCTGCTCTCTGGAATGGTGTTCCCCTTAAGGTTCAAATGGCCCCAACCCTGGAATCGTTCAAGCAGGCCTTAACGACCTGGTTATTTCCCCAGAAATTAGTTAGGAAATGTTCCTTTGAGGGATTTTATTAGGTGTTTGCTTTTTGCTCCTTGGTTCATTTCCTCTGTTGTTTTTAATGGTTTTTTTTAAAAAAATTATACAACGCCCATAGTAATTTTTTAGTTGGACTGCCTATAATAAACAAACAAACAAACTCTTGTTCTTCTTGTAAAGACTAGAATATTATTGTCCAAAATAGGGCAAAATAGGACATAACAAAAAACTAATTTTAAATCCTCCAAAAAAAACACAAATATGTATTTGGTCTGCCAATTATGATGTCTCTGGGACTATCCTGTAGATGTCCACGGCAGTCACATTACTCTATTTTGATATGATGAAATGAAAAGAATTAGGCCTGAATGATAACTGGCTGAGATCCATACATCCCTGAAGAGAGACAAGGGATGGGAGTGATACAAATATAATTGAAAAAGCAGTAGACCCTGGAGGAACTCTTATTCCTTTAAAATCTGTGAATAATTTCTCTGTTTTGCCAAAATGTAGCTCTCCTGTTCTGATTGCTACATTCTCATATTTTACAGCACCATATACAAGCCCTCAAGTCATAAAGCGGAATGACACTCTTGTTTGTACAGCATCTGGAGGTTACCCAGAGGAGAAGCTGTATTGGGTTTCTAAGGCTGGAAATAATCTGACTCATAATTCAACATTTGAGTCTGTGAAAAATGAGGATGGGCCATTCAGTCTAAGCAATACCCTTCAACTGGATTCTGCTCTCTCTGAAACTGAATATTGCTGTACTTTCAACAGCACAAGAGTTCCCAGCAAACAATCAGGTGTGTTTCATTTTTTCATTGTCATGTCTATACTTCAGATTGCCAACAACTATCACTATGAACCAAGGAACATTGGTAATTATAATTATCAAGTACTAAAACAAAAGTTATTAAAGATGTTTGGATGCCATTAAGAACTACTCTTAACTTTCAGTTAAACCATTTTGCATGGGTAATGAGCATTTTGGGGTAATTAAATGGAAATTTAATTATAAGATCTTTGGGGGCAAATTAATAAAAATGTGAGATTGATGCTCAGATTTCAGTCTCTGTCTTGCACTGAGTTCTTGGCAAGCTATTTATCTCTGTCTGGACTAGAACTCCAGCAGCACATGAAGTCCATCACTTCGTCATGTTATTTGTCCTGTGTATCCAATATTCAGTGATCTTCTGCTTCTGTAGAAGCTCCATTTAGTTGTCATGATTGATAGGAATTAATAGGAAGTACTTCTTTTAACAGACCTGGGAAAATACATTCTTTCAACACAAAAGGGGGCAATGGTTGTGGTTAGGAGGCAAGGCAGGGACTTGTAGCAGTCCCACTTTTGGGAAGGGAATGGCTTCCTACCATGTTGTATCTTTGTTGAGCACTGCCCATATTCTTTGCTAGGTAGCAGCATATAGTTGAACTTGTTTGGATTCAAAAAGCTAAGTAGGATCAGACCAAGTTTATACTTGGATGGGAAACCACCAATAAAACCGAGAACTAGACTAATTTGGAAGAAGGTAATGACAAACCTCTTCTGTGCTGTTGCCAAGAAAATCATATGGACAGTCCATGAAATTACCAGGAGTTCAGTTCCACTTCAAGAAGATACCACCTTTTTAGGTGTCCAGGTGGAAAATTCACTCCATTTTCTTTTCTTTATTTTATACAGCCTCTACATGTATGACACCTGAAAGTGTTAGAACTTTCATGATTATAGCAGAAAAGACCACACCGATAACAGCATTCATTGTGTGTGCTATTATTTTGTCGCTTTCCATTTTACTGGTTGTAGTTTTGTACAGAAGAAGGAAGAAAGGTGCATCTTCTGCAAGTAAGGACTACCTGTAGATTGATATTTTTCAATGTCTAATGACCACTTACTAGAACCATTGCTATGGAGCCAGACATGGGGAAAAAACGGATATTGGGGCTGAAGATCTATGCATATTTGGCATGAAAACATTGGGTCAGCATCATTATTTATCACTATCTCTGGGACCTCACATCTGAACATAGTTCAATCTATATTGCCTAGAAAATATTGAACGTAGATTTGAATGGGGCAAATACCTTCTAGTCCAGTGAATCACCACCCGATGAGCCCTGACTGCTGGCAGAGTCTTTTAAAGGCCAGAATGTCCATATGAGCCTCCAGCCCTTTTCACTGCATCCTCTGTCAGTGCAATTTTTTTCTATTAGTATTCTATCCATTGAAGTCAATTCCTGATAACTGAAAGAGCATGGGGAATCTTACAACACTGGGAAAAAAAATCCTGAGATTACATTTTAATTTATTTTTCTTGGTAGGAAAAAAAATCTCAGAAGAAAGCAGTGGCAAACCACGTCTGTACAGTTGTTAAGAACACTGCATGGCTGTGCTTAAGTTGTCAGGAGCTTAATTCAAAGGAGACTTCACTCTGTTATTGCCTTGAAGAAAAAGCATGGCTCCATTCAATCATTTCAAATACTCAAGCATACTCTGAATGGGAGCAATTACAGAATATATTTTATATTGTATTGTAAAACCATCATACATTTTAAGGCTTTATATTTTATTTTATTTATATTACATTCCATTTAAATTTTGTTCACTGCCCAGAGTCACTGTGGCAAGAGGGGCAGCCATGTAAATCAAAATAAATAAACCAATAAACAAAGGTTGATTAAAAATGAACAATAAAAGTAAAATTATTGCCTCATTAAAAAAACAAAGTTCATAGCTCTATAATACTCATTAATTATTTTCTCCATTTGATTGGTAGTTTCAGTTTTTGTTTGTTATTCCTTGTTTAGAGTGCAAGAATTTCATTCTGCAAACATATTCATCAGAAAAGGGAGTTTTCTCTGCTTTCTTCCAACTCAAGGTAAAAATAAATCTCTTTATAGATCTATACATATGTTGACATGCCTGGTAATTACTCACACAGTTAATAACATAACACACCAAGTCCGGGGGTCCCAGGGAACTAGAGATATTCTAGATGGCTCCACTGTGGTTGATTCTTTTTACGCTCTCCATGTGGTTTAGTTATTTTAAATTTTTATAGTGTTTTTCATTTTTAATAATGATATTTTATATTTTTATAATGATTGCTTTTTATATATTTGTTGTTTTATTGATTGTTGTACACCATCCAGAATCTCTTTTTGTGAGATAGGTGGCCAGATAAATGCGATAGATAGATAGATAGATAGATAGATAGATAGATAGATAGATAGATAGATAGAAACCTATTCAGTGGCTTTCTTGCTATAATCTCCTTTTCCTCCATCGGGGAAGAGAGATTGCTTTTGATCCAATCAGTAAATATAAGGTTGTCTCGAATGGCACCAGTGCTCATGATGCTAAAGCTTACATAAGCTCCATGCCATTCTTTACAAGCTTGACAGGCTAGATGTTGCTGGGAAGAGCTGTGTGCTTTTTCTCATACCTGGTCAAGCTGAACATGAACACTGCCACCTCTTGTACATTCTCTGCAAGTGTGATATAGAAATGTATAGGAATATAGGAATGTTTCTGATTGTGGCTCAAACTACTGAGTGATTTAAATCAGTGTTGTTGACCCTGACTACCAGCAGTTCTGGAATCTTCCCTAGCCATAACTGCAGATGTTTGGATTGAACCTATGTGTGAAGCATGTGCTCTGTGCCTGATCTGTGTTCCATCCTCTGTGATGGGTAGAGCTTTTGATTTGGACAAAAAATGTCAAGACACCTTAAGTCAGGTTCATTTTTTGGAGACTAGATGGACAAAAAGCAATTCAAACAACTTAAAGGCAAATAGTTCATTTTTTATTTATTAACAACATTTACATACAAATAATTGCATGATCTTCTGCTTTGGGAGCCTATTAAATATTTTTGTTCATTCTTTTTCTTATTTACCAGGAAGAATTTCCATTGTAGTTGGAAGAATAGACTTGCTTATCCAGCTTAATAAAAGGTATGGTCTTCAGGCATTGGACAAGATTTAAATTTTGTTTGCTTTAAGTATTTTAAACTCTGCATACTCTTCCAATCCAGCATCAGATAAGTAACATGATCTAAATTGAAGCTTGCCTTGGAGAAGTCAGATGCTCTCAAATTCACGTCCTTTTCTGAAAACTATGGGCAAATAAGACCTACAAATGTAAATAACAATGAAGAGATTGAAAATTTTAAGAAGAGTTGCAATTGTTATCAACCGGATACAGATTAAAAAAATGTGGACTACAAGAATTAAATGTCATTATCATGAACTGCTTTGAAAGACTTGACACTAGTTTCTTTGTGTCCTTTCCCCATCCCCACCCCTAAGATCAGGTTGTTTTGCTGACTACCCAAGAGGCTTTTTCAATGGCTACTACTAGAGGTGTGCACAAAATAGAAAAATTCTAGAACTAATACTTTGCATTCCAGAAGTTCTCCTGAACAATTTTGGTTTGGTTACTATTTGGCAGGAACAGAATCTGGAAAGCTCTGGCTATTCCAGGTTTCAACCAAACCAAGTTCAGAGAGGTTGGTATGATTGCCCACTCTATAACCCCCCACCCTCCTCCTCCTCCTTTCAGAAGCTGCCAGCATGGCATATTTTACTGTCTGGCCTGCCCAATCTTCCCAG